ACCTTAGACCCAACATGGGAAATTCCAGATGGAGCAAAAAATGTAAAAGTACAAACAAAACCACAGGAAGTCCTGGAAAAAACATGGGAAATAGGCTGATAATCATGGGAGGTGTGTGTGTGGGGTGGGGTAGGGGGGGAGCTGCAGTAATGACACAAATCCAGAAGAACAGCATGATAAGCATGTCCCCACAGTCTACCCAGACTCCAAAGCCAAATGACAAGCGGGGGGAAATATTTGCAACTTGAGGAAAAGGGTGAGCCTCTCTAAGAAAATCCAGTGGGGAAAATGGGCTTGAGGATTTTACTTAGTTCCCAGAAAAGGGAATGACTGTTTACCTTATGAAAAGATGCTCAACCTCATTGTGAGAAAAACAAAACCTTTTGCTCTGATAGCCAAGATAGCCAAGTCAAATCTCAGGCTGGCAGGCCTCTCCTGTACACTGCTGGAGGCATCACCTACGGGAGGGACATCTGGCTGTATCAAAATTGCGTGGCCCTTGACCAGTGATGATACTTCTAGAAAACTTTCTTACAGATGTACTTACACATGTGTAATTCAGTACAGCAGAGTTAGGACCCAAAGGCTGGAAAGTGCTATTAGGGTCTGGTTAAATGAATTGTGGTCAGCCCCAACAAGAGAATACTGGACACTCTTTAGAGATAGACTTTTAGGTACAAAAAGTCAAAGTGCAAAAAGTGCAGTTTATGTACTGTTTCACAAGGAAGGGTGAAGAGACCTTGTCATACATTTGTATACAGACAAAATATCTCCAGAGGGAGTTGAAAGAGGCTCACCCTGTGGAAAGAAGTGGCAAAATGGAGCCTTCTCTCTAGGGATCCTTGAAACACTCTGAATTTGAGCCATGTAGACTTACTACCTATTAGTATGAGAACAAAATCAAGAAACCAGGTGGCTGGGAACCCAGAATGACACTTACTTACAGAAGCGCTGTATGTATGTTTAAGGAGCTGGGTCAATTCCAGACCCTCCAGACTCCGCAGCCCCCTTGGGCACTGACAGCCCAGGAGTAAGGGGGCAGTCAATTTCTGAAATCTGACTATTTCTGTCTTACACATAGGCTTCAAACACAGGCATGAGCTGTACTTACATCAAGGAAAGGAAACCTGGACTGAGGCGTAGGGTTTACATTTGTGCCCCTTATCCCAGTTGGTCCTAAAATTCTTACTAGGAGACCTGGAGGGCTGGGACCTGGCTTTGCAACATATTGGGGAAGGGGCCTAGCAGTCAGGGGAGGGCTTTACAGTTTAGGGGGCCAACACTTTGTTGCCCAGTGGAGCAACACTGGAAACTCCCTAAGCTTTGGGCATCAACTGACTTCTCCCAGATAAGTGAGGATGGCCCTGTATAATCTATTGCTTTAGAGGCAGCACAGTAGCCTCAGAGTAGCCCCATGGCCTGACCCGCTGGTTCCTGTGATTGGTGGGCACCATCAATGTAGGACAGATTCCCTAGAATTGTTGCAGCTGCTTTTCTCAGAGGCCTTGTGCCCGCTCTGGAAGATAAGTGCCCACACTCCTGCACTGCCCCAGGGAAGGAGTTTCACAGTTTACCAAGACCTGATATAGGCACAAATCATTCGCTGGCTCCTTTCCCTCCTTCAGTCATCTGCAGTAATGGCAACCTTGATGCCGAGATGTACCATTACATTCCCCAGACTCTGGTAAAGGGTACCTGGCAAAACCCTTTTCAGATTGGGGGCGGCAGGAGGAGGGAACAGAGGCCTGGAAGGAGAGCAAAACACAGGCCCTGCGGCAGGGGACAGTGGGACATTTACAATGAAGGTATGCCTGGGGCATTGCAGCCTGAACATCAAAGAACTGGGTATAGCTGCCTCTATTCTGTTTATTGCTCATGGGTTGCTGGTGGTGGGGTGGGGAACACAAGAGAAACCCCAGTTAACAGGGTAGGTGGGAGCAGAGGGATGTTGGTGTGGTCCCGCACAGGGTGGCCTCAGGGAAGACTTCCTAGTGGAGTGCGATGTGGGGTTCATATGGGAAGGCATCCATGCAGAGGAGCAGTACCTGCATGGCCAAGCCCCAAGACAGATGTAGCATAGTGGCTGTGAAGACAGTCATGTCACCCTGTAGGCCAGATGCTACAGTACCACGAAACACCCAGCAGTCTGTTTTCCATCTCATCTGGCCACACGGAAGACTGAGGTATCACTTGGAAATGAGTTTTTGCTGTCATTTCAAAGGTTAATTGCCCACCTTTGGGCCTGCAGGCAGCCCTAGTAAATATTAAGGACAAGCTGCTCCATGGATGGAATCCATGCTTTCATGCTTTGGAGGACTGGGGCTGGACTGGCGGGGTCAGGGGTGTGGTGAGGTGGGGGAATGGGATAGGGCAGAGGAGACCATAACTAGAGGATGGGGTGCAGCAGTTACCCTCTTTACAGGGCCAGTTATTAGCCCCAGGGGACTTGGGAACCTTGTCAAAATTAGGTTCCTGACCCACAGATGCTGCCTTTCCCTTGGATGCCAGGAAGCCAGCCTCTGCCTGTATGTTCCTTCTAGTCAGCAGCTGACACTTCCAGGCTCATGGGTGGGCATTAAACCATGCTGCATGCTCCTGCCTCCCGTGATCCTCTCTAGCCTGCTCTGCCTACCTCCTCAGTCCCAGAAGACCCAGTTTTAGCTGAGAAGACACCACTGCTAGTGTAGGGCATAAGACAGAGCCCTAGTTCGGGCAGTGGGCGCATATATAGCCAAGCCAGAGGTGATCAGCCTAGCACACCTGGAAGACCAGGGATCAGTGTCCTCATCTGTGAAATGAGGGAGTTGGACTAGAAGCTCTCAGAGACCTACGTCCTGGCTTTCGGACGATCATGTCTCGTGCAGGTTCTGAGAAGTAAAGGCTGTGGGGAGAAGGTCCAGGTGGAACAGGGCCTGAAACTGAGGAAAGAGGTTCTATGTTGGACACTGGCAGGGCTGGAGGCACTCAAGGATGAGAGGGTGTAACGAAGGCCAGGGCCAATGTGGGAACCTGATGCAAGATAAGCGCTCAGATCCTTAAGAGACCCCAGCCACAGCTAAAGTGATATGGCCCTTTGATTGGAGATGGAGCCATGAAATTCGCTCCTCCTTCCTCTCCCCACCACTGCCCTATCCTCCAGCAGAGACAGATATGGGGCTTCATGGTCCTTTCACTGAGAACAGACTAAGGCCGAGGGGAGCAACCTTTGTGCAAGAGGTGCATGTCTCCCCTGCCACCAAAAAAAAAAAAAGATGGGCAAGACCCCAGAGAGCTCTGATTCTCCTCCCTCTTTCCTCCAAGTTACCTCAACCATACCCATTGCTTTTTTGGAAATAACCTTGCTGCCCAGGGCTGAGTGTGATGAGCTGACTTCAGGCTAGGTGGGGAGAGGACCCTTAAAACCTGGACTGAGAAGCAGAGTTGTCCTCAGGCATCTTGATGAGCAAACTGGCAAGAGTAAGCTGCCTGAAAAAATGAAAAGAATTCTGCCATGTAAGAGGGGGTGTGCATGTGGAGCTATGTGGAAAGCAGCAGCTCTGGGACCTGGGTGGTTCTGAACTTGGCCGTTACTGAAGGACAAATGTGACTGTTTCTAGCCAGGCTGAGGGCTTGCAGCTTCTTACCCAGGCCTGCTGGGTGTTCATAGCAACACCACACAGGTGCCCCGCACATGAAAAGGCAGTGAGTACAGCACCGGATGAAGCACCGACAGCTGTCGCAGGAAGGAGTTTTTAGCAATCTGGGTCCCAGACCTCCGCACACACACAAAGCAGCCTGTCACTGCCAGTGGTTCAGGGGCAACACTACTCTCAACACCCGAAATGAAGTAATAGCAAAAGCACTAAAATGCTATGAAATTTAACAAACCACCTTGCATCTAGGATGTTCTCTTCTAGATGAACAAGGGGTCTTGAGGGCCCAAGGAAAGCTGGAGTCCAGAAGTGAGGTCCTACCTTTCCCAAGCCCCACGGGATCACATGAGCAGGGGAGACTATTCTGTGTAAGCAGCTGAAATAAACTTGACTTCTCCCCCAGGGCAGGCAGGCAGGGTCAAGTTGACCCTTCACTTTACCTGAAACAGGTGCTCAGCCTGGTCAACTTCGTAAACTCCAAGGATAAGAATTTCCAGCTAGTGGCTGGAAGGCGTCATTGCTGGAGAGCATGGAACTTCTCCATCGTAGAAGTGAGACATTTTGGCCCAAGGGCAATGGAGGCCCTTACGGTATAAAATTGCCTACTGCCATACTATCACCCCAGGAGGAGCCCCGACACTTGGTTTGAAGGCTGCTGGTCAAAAGATCACAGTTATCGTGGCCTTGATATTGACATTGTTCTTGACCATACCCTCAGGCTGAGACTGTCCAGCAGGGTACACTGATAACAGGTCAACTGTTGTCTCAGGAGCTGGCAGGACTTAGGTGCTGGAAAGTAGAGTCCAGGCATAGAACAGGGTTAGACAGGAGAGTATAACCAAAAACTCCATTTCTCATGCACCCCACCCTCACAACACACACCCCTGAAAACTGTCCCAAAGTCCAACAGGATTTTCCAGGTCCAGTAACTGGCATAACAGCCTTGAGGGGAGTGATGAGGGAGAGGAGGAGGGAAATGGAGGTACTACTGTGCAGGTATTTTTGCCCATTTGGAAGAAGGAAAGTGGGGCTGAGAGAAAGTACTCTAATCCTTCAGACTGGTACCAATTCCTCCCTCCCCCTCTTCCTGGCTCACTGTGGTGACCCTGCCCAGCCTAGTCACAAGCACGTCATAAACGGACCCTGGGGGAGCAAAGGCTGTAAACCTTAACTGGGAGGCTGTTGTCTGGGTATTGATTCCTAGGTCTGTGGTTGAGCACCATGCCAAGGGCTTTTGAAGGGGTTGGAATGAAAGACCATGCAAAAGGCACCAGAACAGTTGATTCCGAGGGAGCACCCCTCCCGGTCTCGAGCCCCAGTCAGTGTGTCCAGGCTCTGCACCCATTCTTCAGCAACTAAGGAAGCCCGTGGTGTCCAAACCGTTTATTTCTCCAGACCCGGACATGGGATCGCTGGGGGTAGGGCGTACACAATACTGCTGGAAGTGAGGCGAGGCCTGCCAGGCACAGGCCCGTGTAGTTAACTGGATCTTCGGCTCCTCAAGCGAAGGTGGAGCTGTTCCAGCCCACGTTGGCCGCGTTCATGTCATAGTAGTTGATGTAGACCCTGCAGGGAGTGAAGCCAGCTCATGGCAAGGCAGTGGTCACCCGGGGTTAAGTGCGCGCGCGCCTACCCCCTCGCCCCGCCGCGCCCCCGCCGCGCCCCACGCACCTATCCGGGCTGATGCGCAGGCGCTCGGCCAGCAGGCCGCATAGCAGCTTGCTGTAGGTGCGGTTCTGCGCACCGCCGATCTTGCCGATGCTGTGCAGGCTGCAGAGCGCGCAAGGTTCGCTGGAGCCGCCGAAGGCCATGAGCTGGTCTGGGACCACGTGCACCGCGATGTACTGCAGGGACAGGGGGGCCGGCCAGTCTGCCTGAGCGACCTCGCCAGTCCCCGGGCACCCCCGTCCCGTCCCCTCCCAGAGCCTCCTCCCGGAATCGCCTCCCCCCCTCACAGCCCGGGAACACCGAGTCCAGCAGGCACCCCCTCTTTCCAGTTAACTGCCGGCAAACCTGGGCCGGCTTTCCGGTGGCCTGCGCCAGCTGCTGGGTTAGCTCGGAGAGGAGTCCGTCCGGCACCGAGGCGCGGGGCACGTTGGTATTCACGACGAACATCGGCATGATGGCGGTAGGACGGCAAGGACTGGAGCCGAGGAAGCAAGTAAGGGCGCGCGTCGGCAGCGGGAGAACCTGAGCTACGTGCCGCGGGCAGGGTGGCTTCGGCTCCGCCTCGAGCGACGTCACGGCCGGCCGAGGCCCCGCCCCCGCGATGCCCGCCCCGCCTGGCCGATGACGTCATTTCCGGTCACGTCCCGGGACCCTTGGATTCGTCCAAGCCCCTCCAAGCGCTTGGAGGCGGGAAATCGGCCTAGTGTCTTCCCTAGACCTTTCGTTTAGTCACTGAGGGATTACTCAGGAACGTCACGTGTTGGGAGTTGAGGCCCTCCAGATCTCACGGCCTACCTGCCGGGTGAAGTCCCCGCTCAGTCCGCCATAAGCTCTGAGCCTTTGTGTGTCCTGAGCCTCGGCGGGCAGAATGATCTTCGAGTGAGTGAGGACGCTGAGAGCCCCAGAGCCAGGGCGTGGGGACTGAGAGGTGAGGCCCAGGCGGGCAGCTCAGTGCTGCGATCAGCAGCCGTCTCAGAGCACACGCCCGAGCCTCCAGTCTCTCGGGCAGCTGCTCGGCAGGACTTGAAACTTGAGCTCCTCAGGAAGCCCCGCCCCAGTCAGGTCCTCTGGGGGTGCCCTTTCTCGCAACTCCTGACGAGTTCTTTCTCTTCCACTAATGGTAAGCCGAGGAAGGGGTCATCTAGTGAGTGCCAAGCACACAAGAGACCGGGACTAAATCTGGCTGAACGGAACGACGTCGGGACAAGGCAGGAAGAGGGTAAGGCAACAATTTGAGTCAGATCCTGGCTTTGCTCAGGACCAGCGATAAGACTGCAGGTCCTGCCATCACTGGGCAGAAGTGGACATGCCTTCCTGCGTGCCCACCCTACCCCCAACTCCCCGGTCAGGGTGCTGTGCTTCCCCAACCCCCAGCAGCTGATCTTGCCCAGTGAAATGTGAACAAAAGTGACAAGTGATCTCTGGCAGAAGATTAAAAAACCAGCAGCTGGTTCATTCATCTGTTCTTGGAGAAAGTGGAAAGTAAGTGACAAGGTGGATCCTTTCCTGCAAACTCCTGTGATATCCTTTTTAGTGAGCCACTGCAATGTTCATGTTGTAACTGTAGAATGGTCGAGCTTTCCTATGCTAATCAGGATCAGGACATCTCTGAGCCACTCACCATCCAATACTCCCCTCCCTGTTTCCACTAGCAGTCAGCACCATCTTCTAGAAGGACATCTGAGGGGGTTATGTGATTCCCAGTTCCACCTGTTACTCGGTGGGACACTTGGCTAAACTTTCTGTGCCTCAGTTTCCCCATCTGTTGGGAAATGACAGTACTCACCTTGCAGAGGAATGTTGTGAGGATTAAATGATAGTCTCCTAGTGATAGTTCCCTGTGACACTAGAAGTAGTACTGACACAATGACCAGGAGACCTGGTCTCCACCCATGTGTTGTACCAGGTTCCCTGTGTTCTTGAGTTGTGAGCAAGACTATTTAATGCCAGCCCCTGGTGAGGGCATTGGTCCTGAGGCATGGTTTGCTCACACTTTCCCTCATCTGACTCGCTCAGAGTTGCTGTTGGGGTCAGGTTCCAAGATATGCCCAGTGCCCATCATGTCCTTTGATGCATAAACCACATTTGTTTGTGAGTTAATGCTTTCTTTCTAGGTGGTAAGCTCCACAAGTATGGGAATTCTCTTTTCAGGCACTGCTGTATGCCTACCTCCTGGCCTGTTCATTACCTCAGGGATAGGCAGTTGGCATCCAGAGCTGTCCTTGCCCTAATCCCTGGAACCTGTGAATATGTTACGTTGCATGGCAAAAGGCACTTTGCAGATGTAATTAGGGTTGCAAACCTTAAAATCTCCAGCTAGTGTCAGAGATGTAGCAGAAAGGGAAGTCAGACTTGAAGCATGAGGAGGACTCCTGCTGGTGTTGGCTTTGAAGAAGGGAATGGGGTAGGGGGGGGCCTCAGTTGCACAACTACAAGGAACTCAATTCTGTCAACAACTTGAATGGACGTGAAAGTGAGTTTTTCCCTAGGTGACCTTGAGACATTTTGACTTTGGTCATGTGAAACCATAAGCAGAAGACCCAGTCTCTTTGTGCTGGATTTCTGACCCACAGAAACTGTGAGATAATAAATTATGTGTTGTTTTAAGCTGCTAAACTTGTAATAATTTGTTCTAGGACCAATGCAAAGAGTTGGTATCAGTAGAAGCTTAATAATGAAATGAGTTAACAGGATACCCACACCAGGAGGTGTTGGTAGACATGGCTGCTGACCTGCCAAGATCCTCTTCCATTTCCTCACTAAGCGGTTAGACCCTTTGGTGCCTCAGAGCCACTGGCAATGACCCATGCAATGTATGGGTCTTATATGCAATCAGTTCTTTGTAGTTCTGATAAGAAACTTATCTAAAATACATAATGAACTAAAACTCAACGGTAAGAAAACAAATGACTATTTTTTAAATGGGCTGAAGACCTTGACACACAGATATATGAATGGCAAGTATTTGAAAAGATGACCCACCTGTCATTAAGGACAGGTAAGTTAAAACAAGATACCACTATACACCAATTAGAATGGTCAAAACCAACACACTGACCCACAAATTCCGGAGAGGATATAGAACAATGGGAGCTCTCATTCACTGCTAATGAGAATGCAAAATGGTGTAGTCAATTTGGAAGACTGTTTGGCAGTTTCATAGAAAACTAAGAATCTCCTTACCTGATGCTCCACCAGTCACACTCTGTATTTGCCCACATGAGTTGAAAATGTATATCACACAATACTGTATGCACATGGTTATAGCAGTTATTTCATAATTGCTAAAACTTGGAAACAACCAAGATGTCCAAGGCAAATAGCTAAACTATGGTACATCCAATGTGGCATGTTATTCAGCACTAAAATGAACTACTACCAAGCCATGAAAATACATGGAGGACACTTAAATGCATATTACTAACTGAAAAAAGCAGTATGTAAAGACTATACATTGTACATGACATTCTGGGAAACACAAAATTATGGAGACAGTAAAAAGATCAGTGGTGGCCAAGGGCTGGAGAGATGGAGGGATGACAAGGTAGAACAAAAATTTTTAGGGCTGTGAAAATACTCTGAATTTTATTACAATGGTAGATTCATCTCATTCTACAATTGTCTGAACTCAGGGAACATACAACAACAGGAGTGAACCCTAATGTAAACTGAGGTCTTTGCGTGATAATGATGTGTTAATGTAAGTTCAGATTACAACAAATGTACCACTTTGGTGGGGGGGTAAGATTAATAGAGAAGGCTGTGCATGTGTGGGACAGGAGCGTATGAGAAATGGTGTACTTTCAATACTGCTATGAAATTCAAACTGCTTTAAAAATAATAGCAGACAAAAGATTTAGTCTTCAAAAAAGATGATATATGAATGGCCACATTCATATGAAAAGATGCTCAACATCTTTTATCACCACAAGACATCCACTTGAATGGCTAAGTTAAAAAGAACGACTACAGGGCTCTCCCTTGTGGTGCAACAGTTTAAGGTGCAGCTCTGTGAAGCTGTCAGAAGCCACTGCAGCACAAGTTTGATCCCTGGCCAGGGAGGTGACCCACATAGCATGGCAGACCTCTCCTGTCTGCTGTTCCTCCCGGCAGTATGTTTCGGTCAACCTGCCTGCTCTGCTCCCCAAAGACTCTGATGAGTCTTTTTACCACCCACACCTCAGGTCTGCACCCCAGTTCTTATATGCATAAATCTTTAAAAAAACAAAAAAAAAACTGACCAAGTGCTAACCAGGATTTGGAATTCTCTTGCTAGTGGGAATGTAACAATATAATCACATAGAAAAGTTTTCTCTACAATTGAAAGTACATTCACTGATAAACTCAATTTACCCAAAAGAAAAAAAACATTCTATGTGACGAGGTGTGTAGGAATGTTCACAGCAATTTTATTCATGATGGCCAAAAATTAGCAACAGCCCAAATGTCCACCAACAGGTCAATGGGTGAACAAATTATAGTGCATCCATACAGTGGAATACAATTCAGCAATACAAAGTATTATATTGACTCATGCAGCAACACGCACAGGTCACAAAAGCTATCTGCAGCAAAGTCAGACATGATTGCATACCTACAGTATGAAATATCAAATTCTAAAAAAATCTGACCTATGGTAACAGCAGGTCAGTGGTTACCTGAGTATGAGGTGAGTTACTGATTGCAAAGGGCCATGAAGGAACTTTTGGGGTGATGTGATTGCTCTCTATATTGACTGTAGTGGTAGTTTCAAAGGTACAGCTGTCAAAATTCTTCAAATGTCGATACCTCTTATTGTATATAAATTACACCTCAAAGTTGATTTTTAAAAAATCAACTCCTTAGAAAATATCCTTACTCAAACTAAGTCAGGCCCTCCTTGTAATGCATACCCTTCACACCTAATAGTTTTCTTCCACCTCATTCCCTGGGTTCACAGCTATGTTTTTATTCTTTTCCTGTTGACCACCTCTGATGGTCAACACCAAGAGGTCCTGGATCCTCTCTTACTGGCTCACCAGTGACTGCTAAGCACTTGGGACCAAGCTGCACACAGTAGGTGCTCAATCAGCACCTGTTGAATGAGTGCAGGAGCAAGTGAAGGGAGAGGGGCCAGGACCCAAGCAGGAAGCAGAGGGAAGAGTAACTGGATCTGGCCCCAGCGACACTTGGGCTAGAGTTCTGTGGACTGGATGACCTTTGGACCCCTCCACATGGGACCCTGACTCTTTTGCCTGGAGTTCAGTCTGTGAAATTCCTCAGAGATTTCCAGGAATGTCTTGCCTTTGGTCTCAGGGAGGAAGAAACCAGTGTAGACGGCCCCACAGACACAGACACACAGGAAAGGCAAATAGATGAAGTGGGACAAGCCCTCCTGTGGGTTAAAAGAGATCTCAAGACCTGTTGTGGCCTTAGCCCCCAGACAGCGGCCCCATGACAGCTCCTGATGAGATGCTTGTCCCCCTTTGCTTAGTTAAGAACCGACAAGGCAAGTATGGGAGTAGGGTGGGGAGGCCTACCATGAGGAAGGGAAATCCCAGCCCTGCCAGGAAGAGCATGATCCACATGAGTGACCCACAGATCATGTAGGCAGCAGGTCGAGCCATCTGGTCAAATAGTTCCGTGGCCAAGATCCCCGTCACTCCAGCTGGAAGGAAGGATGAGGACAGGGCTGCCAGCAGAGGTTCTCTGCCCTGCCTTTCCCACCCCTCACCCCAGAGTTGGGAGTAGGGTATTCTTGGTGCTTGCCTCTGGTCATTCCCTCCAAGAAACCTCAGCACAAGTGGGTTGAATGTTGGCAACACTGCATTCACATGTCCCCATCACCCATGCAGAACCAAAGCCCATGTCTTTAGCAAGAACCAAAGCCCAGAGACCCTGGGACCCACTCACCGGGACCCATGCCAAAGCTGAGGATGAAGGCAAATATGCAGGACATGGCCAGGTAGGACATCCAGGGGAAGGAACTCTGCAGCAGAAGGGCAGAGCAGTTGGGGGGAGGTGGAGGTCAGGATTTGCCCGGCCACCCCTCCCCCAACCACCTCCTCAGATACCTTTAGGCACAGGGCCGTTGTGAAGACACTGCCCCAGCAGACCATCAGGCTGTAACCCCCTATCAGCAGCACCCGCCGACCCACCCTCTCGATGATCATACACTGCAAAGGAAAGGAGCCCCCAGTCACTGACCCAGGCACCTGGCCACTGTCCCTTTGTTTTAGGGGTGGGGGGGTTGGGACGAGGGGTTTGGGCTCATGAGGAAGCTGACGGTGGGGGTAGGGAGCAGTTCATTATTTCAGGAGAGTGAGCCATTATTAATTTCCCAGAGGCCCTTGATCATTCAACTTTCAGGTTCCCCATCTCAAAATGATGTGATACCTGCTAAACTACCCATAGGAAATCAATACTGGTTAACTCACCGAATTTTCACAAAGTGCCCTGGAGTGGAAAATTGTTTCATTCCAGAGGCCTGAAGTCCTGACAGTGTCAGTACCCCGAGGGAGTCCTCTGCCCACCATGGTCCTCGGCCCCGGGGCTGGCGGAGGGTCAGACCAGGGCCACACTCACACTGACAAACGAAGTGAGCAGCTCACAGCTCCCAGTACCCACGATGGCGTACTGGATCTTCTCCTCAGGGATCCCGGCCTCCCGGAACACTGAAGAGGCATATGCGTACATCTGGAGAGAGCATGGGGTGGTAGGCTCTGGCACAATGCCTCCCTTCAACCTCCTGCAGCTCCCACCTGCCTTCAGCACAAAGTCTCCCGGCTCAGAGCTTGGGGTGGTGTAGGATGGTGGTGGTGGGGGGGGTTCTCACCGAGTCATTCCCACAGAGCTCCATGGCGCTGCCCAGCACCACGAGGCTCATCACCTGCCTCCGCAGGGTCGGATCCCGAAACAGCTCCCAGGGGCGCCGAGCACGCAGGCCCTGGCAGGCAGAGCACTCCTCCTGCAGCTCTGCCATCTCTCCGGACACGTCCTTTGTACCCCGCAGCCGCTGCAGTGCTGGGGAAAGAAGGGGATGCTAAGGTCTCCCTCACACTACACCTTTCTCCCTGCCACCCCTCCACCCTCATTCCCTCAGATGAGGATGACCCTCCTGGCCCTGCCATTTCACAGCACCACAAGCCAGAAAGGGCTTTAGAAATTCAGGATGGTGGACCTCACAGAGGGGTTACTACAGTTGGGACACCTGCCCATTATCCTTGCCAATTTTTCACCCCCACGTATCCATGTTCTTTGCAATGTGATTTTGTAGCCAGTCCCACTAAAAGGCAAGCATACATCTCATCGTTGGTGCTGCGCTCCACCATGTAACATGTTCTGGGCCAATAAAATGAGGCCCAGGAACAGCAGGCTTCCTGCCCTACCCTTAAGAGTTGTTCATTTCTGCTTGTTCTACATCACTGTAAGCGCATGTGGGGTAGCCCACTGGTCCCTGGAGGTGTAGAGATGACCCAGTTGGGACCTGTCTTAGGTGAGTCAGTGCCCAGATCCTGAGCATGTTCAGCCACTATGAGCAGAGCCATTAGCCAGACCCAGCCTATATAAGCCAACCCTAGAGAACCCAGAGAGGCTCGAGTCAAGGCTTCCTTGTTTGCCCTTAAGGTGGGATTGTTAGGCAGCAATAGAAACAGACCAATTACCCAGCACCAGGAGCAGTGCTGTGGTTAATTAGGGCCTGTGACTCATGGTATGGGTTTCAAAACAGAGGATGGTAAAGAGGCTGAAAAAGTAAAAGTCTGTGTCAGCAGTGTGGGCAGTAGTGTGGAAGAAAGAGGGCAGACAGAGTGAACTGCTGGGCTTGTGCCAACAGCTCTCCAAGTGTGAAAGCATGGACTGGTTGCCTGTAGCTGAGTATTTTAAGCTTACTATTAAAAAAACATGAGTACATAAAAGGCCTTTGGAAGGAACAAAAGTCATTAAATCTTAACTTCTTTCAGAATTTTTTAGGCTGGTTTAATTTAAAACAAAAAACAAATCTATTTCTTCTCTCTAGCCTCTTCTGTTAGTCAAAAGAATTCCAGGTCAGGTTACAGCCTGAGAGCAAAGATGACATTCAGAGTCATGCCAGTGAGCCAAAGTCTCTGGTAAAGTTCAAATCAAGGATGTGGCTTACAGCAGTGCCTCACAGACCCTCATGGCTGGAAAAGGCATCAGAAGTCTAATAACTTGGTCTCACAGAGAAGCATGTCTCAGAAAGAATTGTGGCTGTGGCTCTGATACATACATCAAGCACACAGAAAATTCACCTTCTTTTTGAGAAAGTTGTATTGACAAAAGCTCTGTCAGCCTGAACGAAAGAGACCCAGACAGACAGTTTAAAATATAAAAGGACATTTCCAATATTCTGTTTAGAAGGTGTCGGGAAAGAAAATGGGAAAGGCAGGGCATCTTGGAGAGTCAGAAGCAAGAACCTGAGAAACCATCGCCTGGGGAGTCCTTTCAGGTGAGGCACCCAGATTTGATCAAGAAATATTCTCTATCCCCAATGGAGAAGGACTTCACAGTGCTTCCCCAGGGCCACTTCAGCACTGCTATGGCTTGGTAACTGCTTTTTGATTCCTTGTCTGCTCTCTTTAGAAGGAAGGGTGATCTCTGGTTACCTGTCCCACTTTCCCCATTGTTGAGTTAGAGGGGGAAAGGGGTGTGCAAAAACTTGTGGATTTAGCTCCTAGGTCTTTGGATCAAGGAAAAGCATATATGGTTGTGAAATGATCCTAAGACCCTGGACTTTGTAGCTGATATTGTGATAGATGAGAGTTTGGGGCATCTTGGGATGGCAGTGAGCATGTTTTGTGCGAGAGAGGTACGAATAATAATTGTGGTCATAATGGCAAGCTGAGAAGAGGGTGTTCCTGGGCTCTGGTCTTCACCCCGCCTTAAATCTGCACCCCTTGTTGTGCAAGAGGATATGCCATAGGTTTTCCCATCCCTCGACTTTGGGTTCAACTGTGACTCTCTTTGACCAATGGCCAATGATTTGGAAATTGTGGTACAATTTGATTTGCTTTCTTTGTTGAGTTAGAGGGGGAAAGGGGTGTGCAAAAACTTGTGGATTTAGCTCCTGCATTGCTGTAATAAGAACATTCCTGGGCCTGGGCCAGGTGTAGAACCAACAGCGAGAGGAGAGGTGTGTGCAGCAGTGCTAAACTGCTCCAGCGCAGGCCAGCCCAGAGTGGCCATCCACAGCTGACCCCTGACACCAGTCCCATGAGGTCAGCGGAGTCTTGTAGCCAGCTCAGCAATTAAATGAGTACATTGTGCAGTAAGTGATTATTGTTTTAAGCCAGAGATCTGGGAATTGTTCCTTGGAGATCATTGTTGTAGACAAAATTAACAGACAGGACCATCAGCACCCAGCTGACATTGGACCCATGAGATCTTATAATGTTCCATCTTGGCACGTGTGTGGGAGAAAGGTTTTTTCCTAGCACCCTAATGTTCCTGGGTGGTAGGAGCTAGGTCTGACCCACCCCACTGCCATTGGTCTTAGGCCTTGATACAAAGTTGTAAGAGAATAACTGGGTGGCTTATGAAATTGAGGCACAAAGAGAAGAATGAGTTTTCCTTGAAAAATAAAACCTAAGGAAAAGAGAACCATCTCTGGTTAGACATGCCATGGTCAAGGAAGGCTGGGTGTCCCAGAACAGAGACTCACCTGTCAGGCAGGCTTTGGTGTCTCCGCGGTCAATAAGGAGGTAGCGTGGACTCTCTGGGAGCAGAGGCAGGGAGACCAACTGGAGCACTCCGGGCACCAGGCAGCTGGCCAGTAGCAGGGGCCAGACCTGTGGGCCACCCAGGAGTTCTCTGGGGAAGCAGAAGAGACTAGGTCTGGTACTTCCTTGCCAGAGTCCTGGCCCACCCTCCTTCTCACCACACCTCAGAATCCTTCCCTGTATACTTACTCCTGAAGGACAGAGAATCCATACTCTGAAACTGGGCCAATCCTACCCAGATAGGATCACCCAAGATAGGACAGGGTCATGGTCCCCCTCATCCCTAGAAACTCTTCTTCCCAGGGTGCCAGCCCTTGGCTCTTTCTTTTCTGGGCTTACCGGGTTACATTCCCATTGTAAAGTCCACACCTTTACAAAGTCCCATTGTAACACCTTTCTATTAAGACCTAATCTTTGCTTCATGTGTAGACAGGATTGCAAAAGGGTAGTTCCTACTGGTATAGTTGACCGGCGCCCACACTGTGTATGGTCAGAACAGTCACGGACAGGGTTTCAACACCTTAATACTAAGAAGCAGTGCCTTCATCTACTTGGGGAGAAACTCAGACAAAAGACTTTTATTAGCACCCTGAAACCACTGAGTGCACCTGGTGAAAGGTTCTTACCTGAGTCCGATCACCTGACCCATCACAATCCCCAGGGCTGCGAAGACGGCTGAGGTCATGGCTGCTGCTCCTCGGAGCTCCTTGGGGGCACTCTCACCCAGGTACATGGGCTGGATGCTCATGCTCACACCTGGACCCGCACACGGCAGAGACAGTCAGCCACCAAGTCCGATGCCCCTGCTCCTTGGCACCTCCAGTCCCTTGTCTACAAGGTCCTGGCCTGGAGGGCTACTCCCTCACTCCAAGAAGCTCCCACTCTTTTCCCTTAGCATCACTGCAGTATGGTCATCCAATCTTTCTAGTCTCCTATCACTGACATGAGCATGAAGGACTCTGAGAGAGATGAGTGGGGAGTGGGAGGGCATGGGCAGAAGGGCATCCCGGATGCCCACCAGCTTTCCCGGCACTCACACCAGTGCTTTCATTGACTGCGTTTGCTATCGATTCTGACCCCATCCCCCAGGGAGGCACCTAGTACCGGGGGGAAATAGAACTGGACATCACCACCATTGCCCACCCCTGATGGTGCCACAGTATTGGGGCATCAGAAACCTGTTCCATCCCCTGACCTGGGATCATGAACCAGCTCTCATCAAGGGCTTGCCTCCCTCGATAAGTAGGTAAAGAGAACAAGGAGAAGGAACGTAAGTGCACTGATTGCCAGAAAGTCTCAAAGACACCTGCTCTTCTTAAAAATACTTAGGATACTCAGGACACAAAGTATGACTTACTCACTTTTCCCTGGAGTGTGGCCTATTCTTAGTAACTTTCTTTTTAAAGATTTTTTTTTTTATTTATGCAGACAAGAACTGGGGTGTAGGCCAGAGCTTGGGGTGGGGGGGGCGGTAAGAGGATTCACTAAGTATAGAGCAGAGAGTAGAAGAGCAGAACTGAACAACACTGCTAAAGGGAACAAGGATAGGGCTGTTGCACCATGTGGATCACTCCCTGGTTGGGGATCAAACTCATGCTGCAGTGGCTGCTGATAGCTTCATAGTGCTGAGACCTAACCCTTGTGGCACCAGAGAAGCCTGCAATTCACATTTTAAAAATTAAAATTTTGCTACATGGATGGCAATATGGATGGAACCAGCAGGGACTGTACTGAGCAAAATAAGTCAGAAGGAGAAAGACACATAACAGATGGTTTCACTCATATGTGGGATATAAAGAATCAAAGCAGAGGAACAGAAAAAACTAAACCAAAGCAAACTGCTGAAATCTGACTGCAGAATGAGACTATCAGATGGGGAGCAAAGGTGAAGGGGATCCAGTAGACTACGGTGGAAAGTTATTGGTGCTTTGGTGGTGGTGTGGTCTAATAAGATACGTCTAAAGAGTGGGAAAGCTCTACCCCTAAATCATATACAGTGTGGTAAACCCATCTCACCTCAATAAAAATAATTTTTTAAAAAACCTGTGATATATGATTTCTGAAATTAGGACCAAAACAGCATTGGGACTTCTTCCTTGCACAGACACACGCTCTCTTTCTCATCACTTCCTGCGGAGGAAGCCAGTCAATGAGCATGAGGACTACCCAGTTTAGACAATCCCCATTCCTGACCCACAGAAACTGAGATAAGTGTTGGTTGTTTCAGTTTACTGTGGTTTGGAGTACTCTGTTTCCCAGGAGCGGAGAGCTAATACAGACCTCAACACCTGACTACATAAAAAGTAGGAAGTCAAGAGGGGACTAAAAGCCAACGTGTGCCCTCCCTGGTGGCGCAGTGGGTTGGAGCACAGCAGTGTGAAGCTGGCAGTGGCCCCTTCAGTGCCAATTAAGAGGTGATCCACAGGGTGTAGCAGACCTCTCCTGACCAGCCCACTGTTCCCCTCAGCAGTGTATTTTGTCAGTCAGCCTTTTCTGCTCCCTGCTCTGTCTCTGGTGAATCCTCCCACTGCCCCTGTACCCCAGTTTTGTATGCATAGATAAATAAAATCTTTAAAAAAAAAAAAAAGCCAATGTGGGTGTGCTCAAAACTGCCCCATCACGTGATAAGCCCCAGGCACTGAGGAATCTCTAACAGGCTATTCTGCTTCTGTAGAGAAGACTAGAAATCATCCAGAAAGCTTATGACTTAGAGTTTTTCAATATAAAACCTCTGAGTGTAGCCTTGGGGAGATTAGTCTTCCCACTCTGTATAATCTTTTCATGTCAATATCTACTTTAAGTGTCCAGCTATGGTAATCTTGTCAGATGAACTACATTTAATTACATTGATTTGACTGAAAATCCAATCAGTGAACAACAAAAATGAGTGAAGGAAGGGAATAAATGAGTGAGCAGGAGTAGAGAAGCCCCTCCACATACCTCCACTCACTCCCACCAGCAGCCTTCCCAGAATGATCATCTCAAAGGAGCCTGCTCCTCGACTGAAGCCAAACAGGACGGCAGCAGCCAGCACAAGGACGTTGTTCGCCAGCAGAGACTTCTTCCTTGAGGGAAATGGAACACAGGCAAGAAGGTTTGGTTCAGTCCAGAGGGGTATCCCTGGGGCCCTCTATGCAGCTCCATCCAACCAGCCCTGACCAGGCCTGAGCATGCACGTATGAAAGTCATGTATCCTAAGCTATAAGAAGAGATATGATGCCTGGTCAGGGGACCCAGGTCACTGGTGGTCCACTTTGCTAGGCATACGCCCACTGCCCTCCCCTAACATACCCCAGTTACTCTCCTTTTGCTGCACCGTTTGAAATGACAGAACCATAAAATATTTTACGCTTCTGGGCTCTCCTTAGTGGCACAGCATGTTAAAGTACAGCGCTGTAGGCTGGCTGCAGCTGCTTCTGTCCAAGTTTGATCCCAGCTCCAGAGTTGACCCACACAGTGGCAGACCTCTCCTATCTCACCCGCTGCTCCCCTCAGCAGTGTACTTTGTTGACCTGCCTATTCTACTCTCTACTCTGTCTCTGGTGAATCCTCTCACCACCCTTGCACCTCTGGCCTGTACCCCAGTTCTGTATGCATAAATAAATGAATCTTTAAAAAAATATCTCATGGTTCTATCCTCAAACTTCTTTGTAAAAATGAAAATCCTGGGCTTCCCTGGTGGCCTAGGGGTTTGCAGCTTGAGTTTAATCCCTGGCCAGGGAGGTGACCCACAATGCCCAGCAGACCTCTCCTGTCCCACCAGCTGCTCCCCTAAGCAGCATATTTAAGTAGATCCACCTGTTCTGCTCCCCACTCTGTCTCTGGTGAACGCTCTCCCCTGACTAGACTTCTGGCCTACACCCCAGTTCTACTTAGGAAATATTTTTTAAAAATGAAAACCTAACTTCTCAGATTCAATAAAACCCTAAGGAGGAAGAGTGGGGACTTTCAGTGTGGGGGAAGAAATGCATGGAAAACTGAATGCAAAACCCTCACTTTCCTCCAAAGTCACTTCTCAGAACTATCAGGTGGCTAGATGCCTAGTTCAACTGGACAGACTGCCAGCCAGGTGGTGCTGGAAATGTCCTCCATGATGAATTACCAGCTCCTGACACTGATCTCAGAAGTGCTGCCTATAGATCACACAGAAGAGTTCACTGCAGATCAAACAGCTCATTGCACTGAGAGGGAAACTGAAAGCCAGAGGAAGCCAGTGTTCTGCCCAAAGCCAAGAGCAGGCCAGCAATAGAATATGAGCCAAAGTTTAGACAGCTGCATCTAAAATGAAGAATGATAGTAGGACATAACAAACTTGATCCAACAGAAACTCTACTTGTAACTACTGGGCGGTCAAAAAAGTCAAGAGGTATTTTTTTCTGTTTTCTATGCAAAATTGCGTCATGATTTCTGACAATCCAATACTACATCCTGCACAGTTTCCTTATTGGTAATAAATTAATAAAGGTCTCCAATTATGCCTATTTATTTGCGGAGCACAACTTGCTGTAATGCAGGTAATACCGGAAACACAGAGCTTTCATGTGGCAGAGACACGGGTTGCCTTTCCCAACCTGCCTTAGGGATAGAATAGCCCTCTAGCTATTCTGCAGAGGGCTGTATATTCCATGATGTGTCCTTCTGCCCCACTACTTTGATGACTTTGTATTGAAAGGACCTAGAAAAGATCCGCAAATATACTGATGTTGGTAGTATTGGTATCGTACAAGCATGAAAAAGAACAGGAGCCTAAAATAAGGGACTCGGTGATGTTCTTAAAGGTCAATGGATGGGCCTCCCTGGTGGCACAATGAGTTAAGCACAGCACTACCAAAGCCACTTCAGCACAAGTTCAATCCCCGGCCAAGGTGATCCAAATGGCACAGCAGACCTCTCCTGTCTCACTTGCTGCTCCACTCAGCAGTGTATGTCATCAGTCTGCCTGTTCTGCTCCCCACTCTCTCTCTGGTGAATCCTCTCACTGCTCCTGCACCTCTAGCACCTCTACCACAGTTCTGTATGCATAAATAAATAACTCTTATAAGAAAAAAAAGGTTAATGGAGTAAGACATGTCAGCATATTTCTTCCAGAGTACAACAAATTGCTTCCCTTCTCCTAAGAAGGATGGACAAATTGTAGAAGATTTCTTTCCATGTTGGAGGTAGCATTATTACATTGGGTGTCATGGTCTGACATACCTAGGAGGTAACTTGAAAACCTGGTAGCTGCAAGTAGTGATAAGCAAAAGGAATCTTCTCTAGGTCAAAGTCAAGTGCAAAGAGCTGTGTACTTGATTCTTTAACCCAAGAGATTGTGATGGTGCTCAAAGTATCTGAGGCAGTTGCCTGAAAGGATAATCACAATGCATGGCCAAGAGTTTTAGAGTAAATCCACCCTACTTCAGAAATGACTATCTACTTAATCAGCAATTACTTCTGGCCTTGTCACCAGGCTCTAATGAGTAATAGACTGTGGGCCACCTGGTGACCATGAACTCACCATAAACCTGGTGTCACGTGACATTCCCATGCAAAGCTGAATCTTCCTCATAGCACTTCATTACTGAATAGAAGAGGGAGACACCCAACTTGCCCTTTGAGTCCAAAGGCATCCATGAGCAGATTATTCACATCAGTATGCCCACTGGCCAACCTGCATCTCTCCTCCCACTCAAGGCACAGACAGGGCCCCTTGACGAAAGCTGAGGACAAAGCAACACAAACCCCAACCTGGTTAGGAGATGGCTGTAGGCACAGGTTGGCTCCAAGCAGAAAGGTAGTGCTATAGCATTCAAGCCAACTCAAAGGTGGCACTACAGAATGCTGGCAAAGTCAAACCTTTTCTCTGGATGCAATTATGAGCATGACATTTTTGCCCTTTTCCAAAGGATTTGGCTGCATAAAGTCTTGGATGAAGCAGAATTTGCAGACTGGTTTCAAAGAGTAGGAAAGAGTAAATTCTGGGTCTCAGAACTGAGGCCCAGAACCTGAATATAGGTAAGTCCCTATTTCTGCTTACCAGAAACCCCCTACCACTTCAGGAGAGATTCTTCACAATCAGTAAGAAAGAGCCTCCCTGGTGGGGCTGGGGTTGAGTCAGTTCTATGAAGTTATCACAAGCCACTGAGGCCTGAGTTCAACCCAGGCCAGGGAGCTGACCCACATGGCACAGAAGACCTCTCTTATCTTATGTTCCCCTCAGCAGTATAGTTCAGTAAATCTGCCTGTTCTGCTCCCCACTCTGTCCCTGGTGAAATCCTCTCACTCCCACCCCACCCTGCCCCTCTAGCCTACACCCCAGTTCCTGTATGCCTAAATAAATAAAAATAAGTATATATATATATATATATATATATATTTTTTTTTTTTTTTTTTTTTTTTTTTAAAACACAACAATCTGGTAGCTAGGATGACCCCCATGGCAGATGGTATTCAGCAGCCCGGGGCTCATAAACAAACCAGGTAAGGTCACAAGGATAGACAATGCAAATGGATTAAACAATAGGACCCCAGTCTGCAAGCTGACAGCCTTGAGGCCCAGCACAACCACCCCGACTCCCAGGGCTCCTGTGAGCCACTGGGAGGAAAACAAACAACACAGAGACATGTAATAAGTGGAAAAGGCATATGTGCTGAATCTGTTTTTTCAATCCCTTTCTTTCTGCCAGGTACCACTGGCAATTCAGGCAGTAGTTATTATTACTTCCTTCTTTGCAAAGAGAGTTTCGGTGAGTTTGAATGTGCTTCTACTCTTTATGGTTCAGGTGTGAACCTGATCGTGGAGCCCAGCTTAGTCATCATGTTTTTTACACTGGTGACCAGTGCTAGGCAATGCAATGCAGCATCTTTTGGAGAGGGTTTTCCTTATCTGATATAAAGCATCAATTGGCAAGAAATCTTTCTGCTGGTTGATGTTCTGTATCTGAGTAATTCGGTATTGTAGCTTTCTAGCAGGAGTACAAAGTTAAACACAGCAGAGCTGGCAGTGAACAGCATCTGAAGGGTCAGGTCTGGGGAGTAGAAACAGTCCTGCAGTCACCATAAAAAGACATGCACCGAAAAAAAAAAAAAGACATGCACCGGCCCTTTCTGGTAGCGCAGTAGGTTAAAGCACAGCACTAAGAAGCTTAAGCCACTTCCGCATGAGTTCGATCCCCGCCTGCCCCAGAGGTGACCATATGGTGCGGCAGACCTCTCCTGACCTGTGACCTGCCCGCTGCTCCCCTCAGCAGTGTACTTCGTCGATCTGCCTGTTCTGCTCCCTAGTCTGTCCCTGGTGAATCCTCTCCCCTCCACATCTCTGGCCTGTACCCCAGTCTGTATGAATAAATAAATAAATCTTTTAAAAAAAAGAAGCTAAAGCCACTTCAGCCTGAGTTCGATTCCTGTCTGACCCAGAGGTGATCCACATGGCGCAGCAGACTTCTCTTGACCTGCCCGCTGTACTTCATCAGCCGGCTTGTTCTGCTCCCCATTCTGTCTCTGGTGAATTCTCTCACCCTCCCTACACCTCTGGCCTGTACCCCAGTTCTGTATGCATAAATAAATAAATCTTAAAAAAAAAAAAAAAAGACATGCCCTGTGAGGTTTAAAAAAAAAAAAAGCTATTGTTTTAGACATCTGAGTCCTCATTTTCTGTTACTTGAAGTTGAAGATATCTTAACAGGTATATCTATCAAAATACACAAACGTGAAACCCATGCAATTGTGGATCCCCGAAAAGGAAGTTACATCAGTGAAAGAATGTGGGCCAGTACCCATGACCCCCTTCTCCTAGGAACAGGTGGCCTCAGTGTAACAACCTGCTTAAGATACCCACACCATCAAGTCCACTAAGAATGAGGACTTGGGTCTGCCTGATGGCCAAAGAGCCTCAGCCAGTGGAAAGGTGGGAAAGGTGGGCCAGGACGGAGCAGAGAACAGGAGGAAGTTGCTGATGTTCAGCAACCTGTGCCAGCGCCCACACAGGGAACAGCACCTCTACCTGAGTTCCCAGGCTTTCTGTGTCATCAGCTGTAAAATAAATTTGCCCACGGCCTTTCCTTCCTTGATTAGTATTGGTCTCCACTTTTTCATCTTGCCGTTCAGGCATTATGAAACCATTAAGTATGGATAGTGCAAAACTGACATAAACTGCAGGACTGGCACAGTGAACATGCATGGAAAGAATACTTCCTTGTCTCAACCCTGGTGGCTGCGACCGGCTGTGTGGGAGGGTCCCATTCAGGAAGCACACACCGGCACAGGAACCGCTGTGTATCATAAGGTGGTTGAGGGGTGACTAAGAGGGGGCACGAATGGAGCTGAATACAAGGGAGGAGGGGTCCATGTGGAGGGGTAGACTGGTAGCCAGTTGTTCTGCCTGCTGGCCTCACTTTGCTCTCACTCCTATACGACCCAGTAAGAACCCACCTTAGATTCTGGATCTTGAATGAAGACACTGGACAGAGTGCGGTTGGAACTGATGCCCACAAGGAGGTAAGTCCAAAGCTCTAGTGGTTGGTCCCTGCCCTTCCCAGGGCCCAGTTTTTTTTTTTTATTTTTTAAAAAACGATTTATTTTTATTTTGCATACAAGATCTGGGGTGTAGGCCAGAGGTGTGTGTGTGGGGAGGGGAGAAGGTTGGTGAGAAGATTCACCAGAGATAGAGTAGGGAGCAGAACAGGTGGATCTACTGAAATACACTGCTGAGGAGAGTAGCAAGTAAGACATGCTTACTTGCTGCACCATGTGGGTCAGCTCCCCAGAGCCCAATTTTTAAGCACTTCCTTTTATTCTGGAAGCAGTTCCAGTGTCCTTCCAGTTATTAACATTTTTTATTAAGTCAATCAGAATTTATGACCCAAAACCTACATCTGTTGGATACAAAACAATAAGCGCCAGGGAGAATATACTGTATGTGGTCAACCAGCCCTTGCTGGCAGAGGGCCACCAGCATCTCCTCTCCCTTGAGGCAGGGAACTCTGCGGTCTCAGATCCACTTGGAAACAGGTCTCACAGTATGACCCCAGACAGAGTCAGAGACTGAGCCAGGAGCTGACTGAGGTTGGTATCTTCCAGGTCTCTTCCTTCTCCCACACTCCTCAACCTGCATGCTGGGGTGCCCCTCACTAACAGTTGTTTAGAGGGTACCCTGTGTTAACCAAAGCTGACAAGTCACCACCCTCTCTGCCTGGTTCCAGCTAAGGGGTACAAGCCAAAAGCCAGGATGCAATCGGTCTGGTGCTAAAGAAATTGTGCCCAGAAAAAATGCAGTCTTTGTGAAAAACAGTGTTTGGGAAATTGCTGCCTCTAGACAAATCAGTAACTTCAAATAATATGAATTCTGAGATGTATGACACTGTTAAAAGTCCCAGTTCACAGAAGATAAAGCTAAACAGACAAGATGAATTTTAACAAGATTCTTTGTTTTCCTCAATGCCCAGACATCAGCTAGAACCTCCACCTATATTTTGCTTTGTAAAAATCCTTGAAAATACTTCATGTGACATCCTTGCTACTGTGTATAATTCTCATTGGGAAGCTCAGAATGTGGGCAGCTTCCCATGACCTTTCTGGAAGTTATTCCCAGACTGGAATCCTTAGTCTTAATTTTTTTTTTTAAAGATTTATTTATTTATTTGTACAGAACTGGGGTACAGGCCAGAGATGCGGAGGGTGAGAGGATTCACCAGAGACAGAGCAGGGAGCAGAACAGGCAGATCGACGAAGTACACTGCTGAGGGAAGCAGCGGGCGGGTCAGGAGAGGTCTGCCACGCCATGTGGTCACCTCCCGGGCAGGCGGGGATCGAACTCATGCGGAAGTGGCTTTGGTTTCTCAGTGCAGTGCTTTAACCCGCTGCGCCACCAGGGAGGGCCCAGTCTTAATTTTTTAACAAACTCACTTTTGCTTTCCTCCATTTATTTAAGCTGACAACAAAATACACTTACCTTCCCAGCTTGACGGCCAGGGGCCCAGCAAGCAATGCTCCACAGAGGCCCCCCAGGGGGTACAGAGACACGATGATGGACCATATGAGCAGAACAAGGTGATGGGGCAGTGGCCGGCCTGTCCGTGCCCTCCAAGTCTCATTGGTGAATTCTTGAATGTACTATAAACAGAGATACAAGTCAGCGCTCTAGGGACGGGGTCCCACACGTTAGGTCTTCTCCCCCACAGGCCCCGGCAGGGCAGGCCAGTATCCCAGGTGACACGGCTCCCCTGTCATATGCAGGGCACTGTACTGGTTCTTTCATACATATTGTCTCCTGGAGTCTGGGGCTGGGCAGTCTCCACTGGACCGAGTCCACTGTTACCCCTGTCACTGTTCTTGGCCCAGAAGCCACGAAGCCACCTATACAACCAACAGACTAGCTTTGCATTAGACTTGGTTGGTATGAGCAGGGCATTAGAGGAGGCAGAGATGGGGTTCCCTCCCTGGAGGCCTCTTCACACTAGCTGTGACACTTGACTAAATGTCCCTCTCAAGGTTGCCTTGGCCGCGTGGCTCTTCCCTCATGGTTTCAGTAGCTGCTCCTTCCCCCTGCCCCTCTGGGTGGTAGGAAGGACTCCAGTGTGACTACTACATCTGTGTGACTGCTCCCTCTGCCCACTCAATCCTTTTTGGCATCAAAACCTGCTTGACTAATCTGAAGTGTGTCAAGTTTCCTCAGGACCCTGACAGTGACAAGCTCTTGTAAATGTTCTGTTAGAAACACCTGCTTCTATTCACTGTTTAGACTGGGATTTAGGTCCAGAGAGGTGAAGACTTGCCCACAGCCTCAGTCATAGGTCGGGGCTGTAGCCAGGTAGTTTGGACACCCTGGACCCTTAGCCCCAGAGCTGCCACTTCAGGTAAGTGAATGTAGGCCATGGTTAGGAATGACTGCACATGGGAGAACCTGGACACCCTCCCCCTGGTTAGAGAAGGAATGTGAGTGTTTGGCTGCTCTCAGGCTGCCCCACAAGACATGAGGTAGGATGTGAGGGTGGTGGGTTTCAGTATTAGCAAGTCCTCTCCTGCCCAGGGCCAGTGTTGCCAGGCACTTCTGAGGGAAGGATCTGTTCAGGTAGCTGGAACTGGTTGAAACGCCTCAAGAATGCCTATTCAGGATAACAGGGGAAGCCTTTGAAATCCTTATTGGGGGCTAGTGATAACCCATGGGAGTCCTGCCAATGCCCTGCTGCCAATGGATCCCTTCCTGACCTATAAATTTGCAGTGAAGTGGGTACTCTCATGCTTGTTAAATGTAGTCAGTTCAGGCCTCTCTAAACTCTTCATTACCATTTCATCCTTTCTTTAAGGGGCTGGGCTCCTATAATTCTCTCTACCTAGAATGTGCTTCTATTCCTGGCTCCTGCCAATGGCTACCTTTCTTTGGGGGAGTTCTCTCTCATTGTCAGTTACTGTCCTTCCATAAAGGTGGTCACCTGACCCAGACTTGGCCCATCAGGGTGTTCTACCTGCCTGACCACATGATTGCACTTGAGGTAAACATGTGATACAAATCAGCCAATCAGACTCTTCCCAAACCCTGCAGTAGCTACCAGGCAAGACTGTTGTTTGGGAGTGCACAGCTGGCACCAGGTCCAGTGGAGAAGAATAAGACCAGGGAAGGTCAGAAGAGAACCCTAGTTCCCTCCTCTGGCCTGGTTCATGCAGCTCTCCTTCTCATCTATATAAATACACACACATGCACACTACACAGGTGCACATCCTCACCGGCTATGCAGGACTGAGCATTTGCCCTTTCTTAAGCAAATTAAGAGATTGGCTTCTATCACTGGGTCTGAGAGATTCATCTTTTCCACAGGCATCAGTGAACACCCCCACAGTCCAGGTCAATCAGGTGCAGGGGATTCACAAAAGACTCAAAGTGAGAGCAAGCCAGCAGGAGGATGTATTGGACCCCCCCCAAAAAAAATACAGCCTGAGTGATGACAGCCTGAACCAAGGGCTGGGAGGCAGGGGTGATCTCCAGTGGATGGGATGGCTAAAAGAAGGCTTCTGTGGCTCTCCCTGGTGGTGCAACAGGTTAACGTGCAGCGCTCTGAAGCTAGCTGAGGCTAACTGCAGCAGCTCCAGCAGTTTGATCCTCAGCCAGGGAGCTGACCCACATTGTACAGCAGACCTCTCTTGTCCCTCCCGTTGCTCCCTCAGCAGTGTATTTCAGTGGATCTGCCTGTTCTGCTCCCTATTCTGTTTCTGGTGAATCCTCTCACCACCCCTGCACCTCTGGCCTGTACCCCTGTTCTGAATGCTTAAATACATTTTAAAAAATAAAAAAGGCTTCAGGAAGGTGGTGGGATTTAGGCAGGTATGGAAGGGCTTCTGCAGGTGGGGCAGAGAGGATATCCCAGTGGAAGGAGTCTTCTCATTTGAAGAACTGCATGTAACCTACTTTGGCAACAGGGTTGGGGGGAGAAAAGGTAGGTGAACAGGTTCTGATTCTAGAACTTGAACTGCAGATGGATAGTCTATAGGCACTGGAAAGCTAAAGAGTGTTTCTGGCAGGATAATACTTGATCAAACTTGAGAGGGTGTAGAACACAAGAAGGTGAATGAGGAAGCTAAGGCTAGAAGTCTAGGCAGAAGAAACGGAGCCTACGATGGTGGTGTGGCAGAGACATGGGGGAAGTATATGGAGGCTAGAGGTAATTAGGAGGGACTTGGTGTTGGAGAGATGGAGGCAGAGCAACACTGACCCCCAGTCACTGGGTGGACACTGGAATCACTCACTGACAGTGGGGCTCAGGAGGATACTGAGAGGTATAAGGGAGGATGCAGAGCTGCATCTGAGCCTGCAGGACCTGGGACAGCCCACCTGTGGGAGGACACACGGAAAAAGGCGCCACCAAAGGGACGCTGACCTGAAACCCCCACATAGACAGTTGCTGGTCCTCACCAGGAACCCACTCACACCGAGGGTACATACCAAGGTTGGGGCATTGATGATGGAGAGGTTGTAGCCAAACTGAAAAGTCCCACCAATGCCAGCCGCACAGATGGTCAGGAACAGGACTCTGCCCTGAAACTGAGGACAGAGCGGGAGACACGGAGTGACCATGAGCTGTCTCCACCTCACCCATGGGCTGCAACCCACCAAGCACAGCATTATAATCTGTCTGAAGCAGGCAACAAAATCTCTACTTTGAAGACGAGGAAAGCGAGGCACGGAGGAGCGGCATCATCCAGGCAGGGGGCTGGCATGTGGCAGAGAAACCCAAGCCTGCAATTCTGAGCACAGGACACCACTGCCTTCCCACCCTGCCACCCTGGCAGCTTTTTCCTGAGATGGACAGTAGTTCCTGGCCCTCCTTGCCAGGCTGATGCCGGGCATGCCTGCTATGGTTTGGAAGGACACCCCGAGTTGGGGCTCCCGTGGGGTGAAGTGATGCCCCTAGCAGAACAGGAGCCCTTGAGTCCCAGTGACTCTCACCCCATCAGAACATTCTCCAACAGTAGCTAGGCTCCTTCTCTTGTCTCCAGTCTGTTCTGCAATGAGGCTAAGAGAAGGGGCCACACAGAAATCTGCATGGGGACTTGGGGGACACAGAAGCCACAGAGCAGTCACAGCTGGTAAGACACAGCTGGGGATGGCTCTGCCCCTACTCCTCATCCTGAGTCACCTCCTTGCCTGGACCTAGAGCTGGTAACACCTACCTCCAGCCCGAGATGAGGGGTAGCCAAGGTACCCCTTGCACCACACACACTTGGTACAATAAAGAACAGCTCATCATCCTAGTGGGAGCCCTTAGAAATGGAGGGAGAGCTCCCCAAGACAGGCAGTCATGAGAGCTGATGCCCTTTCCCACTTAATTGGCATTTATTTAAAAGATTTACAATCTTATTCAATATTTTTCCTTTTATAATTTTTAATTAAAAAGAGCAAACTCATTAAATTTTTAAAAATTCAGTGTATACTGAAAATTCCACACTCCCTCAAAGGAGCAATGAACAGCTACTCTCAGATACTTTCCTAGGCATTTACAAAGTAGTTAATCATACAAAAATCAAATTGTCATCCCCCCACCCAATACATCCTACTTCTTGTTCTGGCAAATTGTCCTACAAATCTAAAGTCCTACAAGCCAAATTTTTAGAAAAATGTAAGTTTCATGGTAGAAAAATGTTTGGTAGAGATTTTTTAAAGTATTTTCAGAATCTTCAAACTATTTATTCATTCATCAGACAAATTCTGAGTGCCTATACTGGCGAACTGTCCTGGCGAACTGTCCCGAGGCAATGGGTAAACACAGCCAGGGAAAGGTACATTCAGTACTTGGCCATACTGTGCATGGGATTTGAAAAGGCAGGAAAAGCTCCACAGATCTTGCCACAGATTTGGAGACCAGGCACCCTGTCTGCCTATCTACAGTTCCTATATGGCCTGAGTAACTTCCTCCCAAGCCAAAACCATAGGAGAACGCCAGGTGAGAATCTGGGCGTTTGATCTCACAGGAATCATGCTGAAACTCTTACAAAATATATTTATTTATTTATGCATATACGAGCTGGGGTGCAAGCCAGAGGTGTGGAGGGGTGAGAGAATTCATTAGGTAGAGTGGGGAGCAAACAGGCAGATCTACTGAAATACACAGCTGAGAGGAGCAGCCGGCGAGACAGGAGAGGTCTGCTGCGCCATGTGGGTCACCTCCCTTGCTGGCTGGGGATTGATCTCCTACTGCAGTGGCCAGGGATCCATCTCTTGCTACAGTGGCTGGCAATAGCTTCATAGCACTTTAACCCCTGCACCACCAGGGAGGCCATATATATTGAAGCTCTACGGGGGCTTTTTGCAGGCAAGAGTTCCTTTAAATAGTGCATCTACAGAAAGTAGCAAGAGACATAATGCCTGATGACAACTGAGCCCATGTGGCAAGGGATGCTGGCAGATCTCTGACACAGAAAAAAAGTATTTAATTCAATGAGTTCTTGCCTGGAAATCACCTAGGGCATTCCTTGGTCATGAAAAGCATTCAGGTATTAGCTAGGATGATTAATTCCGTGAATAAATGTTACCTCCCTATAAGGCATAATAAATCTGTCTTTGGTGCTGGGGACACCACAGTGGACAAAAGAGACCTCATGGAGCTTTCCTCCACAGAAGGGACAAAGGCACAGGAAAGACATAGAGTAAGATTTACACATAGTAAGTCTGTGAGTCCATAAAGCAGGAATCCTGTGTTCAAAGAAGTTGGTCAGGGGTTATGTCTTGACTTGACATATACACAAGGACTTGAAGGGGGTGAGAGAATGTCCCATGCAGATAGCTGACAGAAAGCAGTGCAGGTTGGGGGCCTTGGGGCTTTGAGATGAGGTGGACCTTCTCTTTTAGCTGCTGCTGTTCCCTCAGTGAATTGGGATAGAGGAGAGAGGAAGCATAAAGGAGAGGGCGGGAAACAGACAGGAGGTGGCCCAGCGCTGGGCTGCTGCCTCTTGGGGCATGACTGAACTGCATGCAGACCGCAGGCCACGTGAGGATTAGAAAGGGGTGCCACTAGTCTTGCAGGTATGTGACCCCATGCAACCTTGCACTAGCCCCCAGGCGATTCCTGCGCGTGAACATCTGCTTATGTTTGTCTAAGCCTATACCTAGTAACTTCATTATACAAACAAGCACAAGATATTTTTCTACATTTGACGCCTTTCTTAAGTCTTCCAGGGTGGCTTACGCGGATCCGAAATCCTTCATCTGAAACTCCTAAATCGGATGGGTTTTGGAATTCAGACCTTTCCAGATCGCAGGAAGGCATCAAGCACGAACAGGCTTTCCCAGCACTGCCAACAGGCTTTCCCAGCACTGCCCGGTAGGGCTCAGCATTGATCCACCGCGACCGCAGGTGCCCAGCCCAGGTAGACGCGCATGCGCGAAGAGGAGAAAGCCGCACAGTCTGTTCACTAGGACGCCAGAAAGGCGTCCCGGAGGGGAAGCGCGATGGGAGCGCGTGCGCAATGATCGTTTGACTAATTTAGGAGCGCGCGCAAGCGCAGTGGTTGATGAGGAAGGTCTTGCAGGCGGACTGCTCGCTTAAAGCCTACCCTTGATCCGGCACTCTCGGTATTAAAGGGCTGCGTGCTTGCCCGGAGCCGGTCACCTGAATCTGAGGTTGTAAGGGTGGTTTCTGTTCATCCTCCATTCCGCCCTTTCAGCAGTTCTGAAAAGCCACTCTTACTCAGCACAGCCCGGGCCCCATCTCTGCGAACCGATGGAGGCGGTGGAACAGATCATCCCAGGCAAACCCCTGCATCCTCCTCGCGGGTCTCAACCGCCTGCTCCATTCAACACGCTGCTCACCCACACGAAATTCCTGCCCCTGCCTCTCACCCCAACCCCTCCCCCGCCACTGCCGCCTCAGAAGTGTATCTCTGAAGCTCCATCTCTCCCTCTCGGATCTCCGCGGCCACCCCTTCCTGCCTCTCCGTCAGGTCTCTTCACCCGTATCTGCTTCTGCCGGCCATAATGCAGTAACACAAGGCCCAGGGAGGCCCCGGTCTCCGGGCAGTCGGATACCGGGGCCCAACCCTTTCCTCTAGAGCCACCCCCGCCCTCCCCCAGTCCAGGTGTCCTGGCTCTTCCTCAGCCGCCCTCCCCCAATTCCAGCCCCAGAGGGAGGAGACTTTGCGACACCGAGAGGAAAACCCACCCACCAGTCTCTGGAGCGCTCTCATCAGTGGGTGCTGGCAGAGCTGCAGACTTTGAATGAGAACAGAGCGACGGGTTTCAGGTTGCCGTCAGCGGATCCGCCGCTAGAGAGGCCCGCCCAAGATCCGGGCAAGTCTGGAGCTGAGGAACGCAGAGTCCACGGGCCGTATTAATCTTTTGTTTCTCAGGACTTTATCCAGGAGTTGGGTGAAGTCCAAAACGAAATCACACTTGCCAAAGGTGCTATTTTTTTGCGACCAGAGAAGCACAGACGTTAAAGTGACCTTTAAGGAGCCACCTGAGGCCCTCCCTGGTGGCGCAGAGAGTTAAAGCACTGCACTGAGAAGCTAAAGCCACTTCCGCATGAGTTCGATTCCCGCCTGCCCCAGAGGTGACCACATGG